ATAGGTCGTGACACCAATTTTTTCGATAAATTTAGTGAGGAATCTGAATTGGTGCATAGGTTGTGACACCAATTTTTTCACTGAATTTAGCGAGGACCTGAATTGTTGCATAGGTTGTGGCACCAATTTTTCCGCTAAATTTAGTGAGGCAACTGAATCGATGCATAGGTCGTAACACCAATTTTTTTTATAAATTTAGCGAGGAATCTGAATTGGTGCATAGGTCGTGACACCAATTTTCCCACTGAATTTAGCGAGGACCTGAATTGTTGCATAGGTTGTGGCATCAATTTTTCCGCTAAATTTAGTGAGGCAACTGAATTGATGCATAGGTCGTGACACCAATTTTTTTTACAAATTTAGCAAGGAATCTGAATTGGTGCATAGGTCGTGGCACCAATTTTTGCACTGAATTTAGCGAGGACCTGAATTGTTGCATAGGTTGTGGCATCAATTTTTCCGCTAAATTTAGTGAGGCAACTGAATTGATGTATAGGTCATGACACCAATTTTTTCGATAAATTTAGCCAAGAATCTGAATTGGTGCATAGGTCGTGACACCAATTTTTCCACTGAATTTAGCGAGGACCTGAATTGTTGCATAGGTTGTGGCATGAATGTTTCCGCTAAATTTAGTGAGGCAACTGAATTGATGCATAGGTCGTGACACCAATTTTTTCGATAAATTTAGCAAGGAATCTGAATTGGTGCATAGGTCGTGACACCAATTTTTTCGATAAATTTAGCAACGAATCTGAATTGGTGCATAGGTCGTGCAACAACTCGCACAATCGTTCCACCAAAGCACACATCTCGCACGCATCTCCTTTATCAACTCCACCGAAAGCAAAGAACCCATAGTAAACATTGTACAACACACTGGTTGAGAGCAAATCTCCTTCGACGTGCCTTTCCACGACGCAGCAGCTACCGCTGGTCATTCGCAGCACGCTTTGCGTGATCGTCTACAATTTCGTTAAAAAGGTGTGCGGGCTCCTCAACTGCTTTACTGCACCAGTGCCAAGACTGGAAAGAGTTTCTCGGCTATCAGTAAAAGGAGACAACCATTTCTCGAGACAAAAAATTTTTAGAACCTCTGAACTAGGTATAACAAGGGCATAGTGCGGGATTTTCCGTGTCACCTACAGAAGGTCAGCACGTGGTATAGGTCAGACAAGGGTGCTGCGTCAGCGTTAAACTGGCATTGGTGCTCAACCGGCGAGAATAGAAGTTTCAGTCAAACGCTGACAGAGCACTCGTGCGACGCTCTTCCATCACGGGAATGAACAAACCGAAAACTGCTATTGTCACTGACAAAATGAGAACGGCAGGGTACATCTATCGGACACCCGACCTTCCACCATGCTTCCGCTGCGTACATGCATTCAAGGTGTATCAGACGCCACAGCGTCACAGAAGGTGGGAAGCTTGCGCTGGAGGCGGGAGAACTGAAGCTCCATGTTTAAGGTTATCCGTGTACGCTCGGAACATTCCGTACATTGGAGTCGCCATTCCTTGTCGTCCAATTCTGACGAGGAACTGGAGTCTTCGTCAGAAGACTCGCAGCACTTTCCAATAAGCGTACCGGCGTATGGGACCAGTCCCATGCTGTCGCCGTAGCGAAATATATCTATTTAAAATTCACTCAGCTGCGATGTGTCCATGGCTATCGCACTGATGAAAGGCGTCGATTAAAAAAATATGCCAATGGCATTGGCGCCATCAGCGCAGTAAAATCCTGTGGTAAAACCTACCGGCACACCGCCAGCTTGCTGCTAATGTTCCCATTCTCCTCCTGCCAAGAGAACTTCCGGTTCCGGTGACAGAGTACGTCACGACCGTCAAAATTACACCGTGCCTTGTTTTGCAGTAATCTTTTTAGCGACATAAAGTGTCTCTGGAAGGACTATTGCTCATAACATAAATACACTAAAACAGAGTATGATAAAATAACTTTCACCGTATTCTGACTCCAGAAGTTCTGTGTACAAAGAAAAGAAAACGGCTTATAATTACGGTACCATGTTTTCGGAGTTTATCTTTTGTTAAATTCCGAGGGTGATTTTTGAAGTTTATTTTAGTTTTTTTTGGTGAAAATTCGGAGTTTATCAGAGTTTATTTTTGTTTCATTCCCAATTCTCCAAAATTCAAAGTCTAATTTTGAAGTGTTTTTATAAAACAATTAAAAAAGTAATAATATCCAGGTGTAAATGTGTGCGAGATAAAAAAAAAAAAACATGCTTTTATTAAGCAATACTTCTTCAGCTGGATTTGGCATTGGTGCCATTGCCATTGGCAATACTAATTCGTCCCACGACAAACATCCTACACAAGTGTTGTAAACAATGATACCTCAAAATCAACAAACTTCTGGAGGTAGTTGCTGGGAAGCTCGTATTGATCCCATCCTATTCCATGAACCTACTCTGTGGCCGCACGAGGTGGAGTGGTGAAGGATGTAATAGAGAAGCTTCAACGGCCCCCCCCACGCTCTCGCCTCTTCCTCATCTTATGCAATCTCTTTGGTTTCATAGCTTTAACTGTAATAAAAACACAATATCTCCTCCCACTAAGAATCACAGATAGTATGGCTCAGACTGGAAACCAAAACAGTGACTTCTGTTATGACCCAAAAGTGGAATGACCTGCTGTCCTGAATGAACCTTGACGAGATAAGCGGCAAGAGCCCCTTTTGACAATGGTTCATATTTGAAAGATAACTGTGCAGGCATTTTCTCAGGACCATTGACCCTCTGTACTGATCAAACTTAATTGTATAATATTGTCTTCTTTTTTTTCTTGGGGGGGAGGAGGGCCTTAAAATTCAAAGTTTATTGTATGAGTCCAAATTGACAAAAATTTTACCGGCAAGTGTTTATCGAAGTTTTTTGGACTTATCCAAAAACACTGAACCTTACATATAAGGTACCATCTAGAGGCTTTTTTTTTTTTTTTTTTTCATTCATGCTTGATAATATGATATAACATAATTGCACAAATTGTGGGTCATATGCGATTTCGAAGTTGGCGGATGCAGTTCAGATGCAGATACAAAGTATGCGGATGTGGATTGGATGCAAACAGACTAATTCAAGAACATTGCGGATGCGAATACAAAGTAATATGCAGATGCGAATCGGATGCAGATGCAATAGTTTCAAGGCCCGTTCACACTCTTGCGACCGATTACGACCGAGTACGACTGAGAGAGACGAGGATCTCTTAAATCTTCTTAAATATTTTTAGAATGAGGGAACACACTGGTATTGTGGCGCCATCTATGCGGTGACCCTGGAACTGCATTTCACAAGAGCGAAGGTTTTGCGGGATTTCCGAGGTCAAATGTGCGTAATAACCATAGAAAGGCTCGTTTATAACATTGACAAAAGTTTTTCGAGCCAAAAAAGAAAGGATAATGCGCGAGAAATAAAAAAAAAATATGCCGGACCGTCGAGTTTACACTGCTTCCCAATAGATGGCGCCAGTGTGTTCTCTGGTTTAAGAAGTTTTAAGGAACCTAGGTTTAAGAGGTCGCAAGAGTGTGAACGGGCCTTCAGAGTATGGCAGATGCTGTTTGGATGCAAATACAATAATTTAAGAACATTGCATATGTGGTTCAGATGAGGATACAAAGTATTCGGATGCAGACACAATCATTTAACCACATGGCAGATGCGGTTCGGAGGCACATACGAAGTGTGCGGATGCGGACTGGATTCGGATACAATTATTTAAAGAACATGGTGGATGCGGTTCGGACACGGATACAAAGTATGCAGATACAATAATTTAAGAGCATTTCAGATGCTGCTCGGATGCAGATACAAAGTATGCGGATGCAGATCGAATACAGATACAATCATTTAAGAACATTGCATATGCGGTTCGGGTAAAGATACAAAGTATGCGGATGCGGACACAATAATTTAAGAACATGGCGGACGCCATTCAGAGGCGCACACAATTGTTTAGGAACATGAAAGATGTGGTTTGGGTGCGGATACAAAGCATGCGGGTGCAGATGGGATGATTAGACCGTTACTGCGCAGAAGTACCCATAACACATTCTCCATTAAAAAAACGTTCAGCCTTCCCACTCTCAAGAAGAAGGAGGACCAGCGAAGCTGTACTCGATACACTGCCGCAATGCGCACGTACCCGTTTCTTCTCGTCCGACATGCCGCCGATTGTGGATACGTCTCTGGAGAACCAGAGTCCCATGAAGCGCACGTGGCGCACGTGATGCCAAACGGGTAATCCATAAACTCCCTCCAGAACCTCGCTGTCGTGCCCGGGAACTGTTTAGCCGGCGTGGAGTGCAGTCATCGCCGGGCCTCGCGCTTGCGCTTGGCCTCCGTGGCACGATCGTCGTCCGTGGCATTGGCCCACCAGCGCTGTTTACATCGCTGGTTCTGTTCACGGAGGAGGCTTTCCAGGCGAGCTATGTGCTCTTCTTTGGCAAGAAAATCTGAAGCGCTCGACGCAGTGTAAGTCAAGGCGACAGCGGCTTTGCGGCGATTGCGGCCCCATTCGTGTTGCTGCGTACTTCACCGCTCCTTCCGCACCCAGTTTTTTTTCCCCGAAAGGGCGCGCGGCCGACCCATCCTAAGTCCAAACCGAAACTGATAAGAGCGTAGGAAACAGCATGCAAAACAGACGAGGATGAAGAAACACACATGACAAGCACTGCGCTTGTTACGTGTGCTTCTTCTTTGTCGTCATCTGTTTTTCGTGCTGTTTCCTATGATGAATTCCCACCAACGCGCCCAACTATTCATTCTTCTACGATAGCTAGAAAGGTTGCTGCCATCTACAAGCGACGGTGGCAAGCAGACTGGTTGTGTGTTTACCGCCGTCGCTTATAGATGGCGGTAGCTGTATAGGTAGGTTTGTGTCGACAGACGTTTGATACCGGACACGATCCTAGGGAACCCAGCCCTTAACAGCTCCGCTCGCTGTAAAAAAGTCAGAGCACATCATCATGTAGAAACGCCGCTCACCGAGGCATCGAGGTCCCTGAATGACCGCTGGGTGAAAGGGGATTGTATGCTCAGTGCGGCAGCGAGGGAGAGCACAGGGTCAACCAGGCGGAAGACGCAGCCCAGGATCAGGACCTTGCCAATGGTCACGTCCACAGGGAGCTGGGACAGGATGCGCCCTGTCGGGGTGAGCTCCTCGTCCGCTGTCAGGGCACCCTGGGGTCAAAGGTCAAGACTGAGCTAGTCCGTAAACGCCTACGCAACAAGAAGTGATCCACCTTGAAACATGACGACTTGTCTCAATAATATGGAGGGTCAGCATGACCAGTGCGGCAGTACTTGAACCCGGGGTCTTTAACATGACTCGTGCACTAGTGATGACGCTGGGCTCGCTCGATATACCACTTGCACCGGCCTGCACTGATGCAGACAAGTGTAGTACGGTGCAAAAAAGTGCAGGGCAGCATACCTCCAGTGTGCATTTTAAATCATGATAAGCTGCATTCGTAAATAAAACACGGCAATAGCCACCGAGTGTGGCTGGTGCATATGGTGTACGTAGATGGAATATAGCCACTGATGCACGCCAGTGCAATGGCCGTTCAAATCAGCTTCAATTTCACATTTTAGAAGTGAGTGAGTTATAGTACCCTAGTTACACAGGCACCCTTAAGCACAGTTAAGTGTGAAAACTTAATTGCGGTTAAGGGTGTCCAACAAACTAACTGTGTCCCAGTTACACGGGCACCATTAACCACAGTTAAGCCTGACCTCAGTCACATTTAACTGAGTTTAAGGGTGCCCATGTTATACACACTCGTTACACGGGCACACTTAGCTGCAGTCATGCTAAGCCACAATTACCACATTATACTTTTAAACAATGTTCTGTGGCTATACAATCAAAGCTACGGGTGCACATGCTCTTGCACGTCTTGAGCGCCCATCAAAGCTGTGCGTGCATAAGTGAAGGCCATGACTTAACTGCGATTAAGGGTGCCCGTGTAGCGAAAGTATAACAAGGTTATTAGAGTTATTTGTGCCGAAAGGTAGCGAAGCTACAAACTTATATCCTTACAAATGAGACAATAGTTGCCGTAACTTAAAAAAAATGACAACTTTCAACATTCTAACCACTCCTAGCGTATTCACGTTGAGGCATGCCAGCTGGAGTCCAACTGTCTACACAGGGTTCACCTGTTCCTTGAGCACTTGGACAGCTTCCTCAATGCTCTCGCTCGGCGGAGGCTCCAGAAATGGGAACTGGCGCACGTTGGGTAGGCCCAGTGCCACCAGCTGGAGCAGAAGGGAGTTGAGGGGCACCCTCTGGATCTCGGGGGTGGAGTAGGCAGACAGCGCCTCATATTCCAGCTCCGAGTAGAGGCGGAAGCAGACGCCAGGACCTGTCCTGCCTGCAAACAGCACCACATGCTAAGGAAACATCATAGTTTTTTTTTAGAGTGCAGCTCTTAGGCGCTCGCTTCCGGGCTGAACGGCGTAGGCATAACTTTGCATTGCATTATGGGATGTTTCCCATTATGACGTCATGAGGGTAAAATTTTCCCGCTAATTTTTGCTAAATTTGGCAAAAAACCTAGGTCTGTTGCAACGCTTTAGCCTGTTCATAGATGCGTCGGTGCGTTAATTTAGCACCACAGAAAGAGTGCCGACTTTGCATTCGTATATCAGCATTGCTTCAGCGCTGCAATGCGTGTGAACCCCCCTTTCTTTGCTTACACACAGAATGCGGTGCTAATTCATCCCCGAGTCAACAGAAGCATTCATGCAGCGCTCACTTTCTGTCATGCCAGAATAGAGATGCACATGTAAGTGAGCCTCAAGATCTGCAGAAGCTGTTTCCAGTACGTGCTTGCTGCTTAAGGAAGAATGAAAGCCTTCCCTGGGGTATCCTTCCCATATCTGCGCCAACCTACCAGCCCGTCCCTTGCGCTGCTCAGCGCTGGCCCTGCTGATGGGGAACTCCTTGAGCTTCTGCATGTGGCTGGCCGAGTCGTAGCTCATCTCCTTCACCTTGCCCGAGTCGATGACAAAGCGCACGCCGTCGATGGTCACCGAGGTCTCCGCAATGTTTGTGGAGAGGATGCACTTGCGCACCTTTTCGGGGGCATAGTCAAACACCTGAACATGCGTAGAGAGAAACATGTGGAGAGATGTTTCCCCAGATGCCTGAACATGCACAAGGTAAAAAGGCTGGTCGCCCCTGGTGTATCCCAAAGACACTCGGAATGTATAGCATCTATAGGTACTCCATGTCACATGTCACATGACGCCATGTGACACAACCCAATGTCACAGTGCCACGTGACATCAGTGTAACATGGTACATCAGTGTCTTATGATGTCACATGGCATGACATCAGTTCATGTGATTTCATTGTCACACGACATCACGGCGTCATGCGATGTCATGATATCCTGTGACGTCAAATCATGGTGTCACGAAAACTGCAAGCAATGGCCCCAATAATGCTATGCCTTTAAAACATGTGGAAAGATGTTTCCCAGCACTAGTTTCCCTTTAAAGAGGTCATGAAACAACATTGAATTGGGTTGTCAAACACTTTACACAAGCCTACTGCTTGTCTACCCACACACTGTACCACTTAGACGGAGGCCTCTTTTGTTGTGGTGTAATTCTGAAGAGAGCAAGAAAACTTAACTTCAGTATTTCCCTTTACATAACTTGTCAACGCAGTCGTGGGGATCACAATGTTGTCATGCTGCTAGGTATAACCTGGGTGGCTATAGCTGAACGTGGGTTGCGGATTGAACACGAGCACTGTGCGAGCACCCAATTTGGGTTTGGTTTGGTGGCGGTCAATGATTCAATGGACATCCAGGTTGGGGCTTGTTTCCAATCGGTGTGGTTATGAACACAACAGAACCCTAACAATGCCTGGAACACAACACGTGCCATTACATACTCGGCAAACCCTAGCATGTGACGGTGACGAACGTCGGATGGATATAACTGGCACCAGGACATCTGGCCTCACGCTCTGGCAGCAAATTAAAGGAGCAAATGCCGTACATTTTCTCACATTGTTTCTGGACTGCTAGTGAACGGAAAGAAAACCTAACGCACACTTTGTAGGTTCTGAATGTCGAAAATTAACTTGAAGCAGCATTTAGCAATGGAAAAGAACAGTTTCATGGCCACCTTAAAATTCTATTGGAAACAACGTATCTAGTGGCTCTGGCCGTACCTTGTCCTGTTCGGCCAGCGACAGAGTGCTGTGGAGTGGAAGTATGATCCAGTGGCCGTTCTGACTCGCATACTGTTCAGCCGCCTCCTGAACGGCCGAGATCTCGCTCATGCCGCTGAGGAAGACCAGCAGGTCCCCCCTCTCTGAACTGGGGTACTTGTTGTCCACCAGGCTGAGCAGACGGACATAGGGAGCCGGGTTGAGGCGGCCAGTGCGGGAACGCTTCTCTTCGACGGGGACTGGGCAGTACTGAACTTGGATGGGGAACAGGCGTCCTGGCACCTGCATGTAGGTACAGGACACCCGTTTTATGACAAATTACTGCTACAATATAAGCATGTAATAATACCTCCTTACCAAACTTCTAATGAGTCTTACCCAGGGCCAATACTAAAATGTGAGTGTGTGCTCCTCATGAGGGATGTGAGGTCTCACTAAGAGACAATAAACCTTTGTATTATTGCCAGGTGGTACCAAGAAGCAAGGTAAATGCACTAGCAAATTCAAAGTCCTTCCGCAAACGGAGGTATGTAATATGACGACATCAGACTGATGCACTGGCTTTGAGCTATGAAGGTCAGAATATGGATGACTTGAAGCATATAAGGAAAAACAAAAACAACCGAGTGTGATGTAAAGTTGCCCTCGGCATTCTGCTCAAAGATGTGCTTGGCATGTTTCCAGGAGGCATCCACAACAATTATATTACTGGATGTACCATGTTACAAACAACGGACAGGAGCAACAATGGAAGCTTGCTGCTGGCATGCACTCAAGAACAAGGTAAAATACAGAGGAAATAATGCACTCGAGAATACCCTCTACTATACATACGACAATGCACACAAAGTTACTACTACAACAAGGGTTAGTCACAAGATTCCCCGAGAGGTGGCCAAACCAAGGTTCTGAGCGCAAAGAAGCAGCCCTTTTACAATAGATGATGGTTAGTTTCTTGGTAATCCTTAACCAGCTGCCATAGAAGATTTGAGCTTTCTTCGTGACCGGCCAGCGAAATGACTCTCAGCGAGGTACCTTACCTGAACAACGGGGCAGTTGTTGAAGTACTGCGCAAACAGCTGGATGTTGATCGTGGCTGACATGAGGATGACCTTGAGGTCCTCCCGGTGCTGAAGTAGGCACTTGACGACGCCCAGAAGGAAGTCGCATGTCAGGTGCCGCTCGTGGATTTCGTCAAGGATGATCACGCTGTAGTCCTTCAGCATTGCGTCGCTGCTGATCTGCCTCAGCAGGAGCCCCTCTGTCATAAAGATCATCCTCGTGTGCTTGCTGCGGTGCCGCTCGAACCGGATCTGGTACCCGATGTGCGTGCCATACTCATTGAGGGTCTCAAACGCGACGCGCTTGCAGAGTGCGATGGCCGCGATCCTGCGCGGCTGGGTGCAGACAATCCCCTCGAAGCCTGCATTAAGGAGGTATTGCGGTATCTGCGTCGACTTGCCGCAACCGGTGTCCCCAGCGATCAGGACCACCTGATGTTTCTGGACCGCTTCGATGATGGCTTCTTTCTGTTGAGCGATCGGGAGGTTCCTTTGGAAATCACGCAGCTTTTTGAGTTTGGCGAATTTTTGGCGCTGGAGGAAGTCCAGGAAGAGGTGGAAAACTGTGCGAGCCTCTGCGACATCTGCTTCGGACAGCGAGTTAGCGCTGTCGTCTGTGTCAACCATAACGCCGGCGTCAAGCATCAGGGCCTTGGGTTCACCGGGGAAGACAGAGAAGTTGACCTTGTGGATCGGGTCGTAGGTCTGTGGTAGTCCCAGAGATGTTTCCAGGTAGTCAGATGGGTTTTCTGCAGGATAAAGATATAACAAACAGTGGCATCTCAGTGGACCTAGCAAAATAACTCTTGCAATAACATAGCCAGAATTTTTTTTCTTTTTTTTCACGGAGATGGCGAGGGGGGGGGGGGGGGGGGGGTGTTGTTTGGTGGCTGACAGCGACGGTGCTAGCGAGAGCGATGGCACCGCTAGCGCCGACGAATCTGAAGTGCTGCGCCCTTCGACTTTGAAAACTGCGGCTCCACACTGTCCGGGCCGCCGATGTTGTACTTTTTGTTTTTGGTGAAACTACTCCATTGGCAAATGAGGAAGGTTTCTGCTCGCTTGCAGCTTGTACATTTTTTTTTTTTTTTGTCCGAATAACGTTTTTTGCTTTTTCCCTGCTCAAATAACAAAATTCTTTTCTACCTGTTTGGCATGTGTTTTTCCAAGAGTGAAGGCAGCAGCCCTTTTGTTGTTGATTCCTGTTGTTAAAACATGTTCACCACTTTGTGCCTCGCATTAGTTCTCTATCTTTGTCGGCGTTGCAATAATGAGTTGGCAAAACGAGTTAAGCTGAAAAGACAATAGCTGAGCAGTGCTCAGCTATTGTTAATACTCTCGTGTTCTTTTTCTCATGTTTCCTGGTGGTTTTGCAAAAGTGACACATTATTAGTTATATTTATGGCCTTTGATAATACTATTAATATTTCACCCAGTTTCCTATTTCTATTTCTTCTCATTGCTTAAAGGGGCCCTGCAATGACTTTTTGACTGGTTCTTAATTTGCACTGAACCTGAGCGTACTGAACGTAGTAACTTAATCCAACTTTTCTTTTCTCAAATTTCGCTTTATTTTAAAAGTTATAGGCAAATTAGAATTACAAAAACAAGCAAAAAATAACCTCCTTCATGACGTCGTAGGTCCTGCCTTGAGCGGCCTTGAACTAGAGGAGGAGTAGTGAGCTCATCGAGCGCATACGGCTGCCGCACTCCGTGTCGACGGCTCGAGAGGGCGCCACTAGAGCACGTGTTGGATAAGCTGTATGAAGCGGGCGGCCAGAGCAGCTCGTATTGCATTTGCAGCGCGAATAAACACTAATTCGGCATAACATTTCATTGGCCACAAACGACAGCAAACACGGGGTAAAGATCAGTTCAGAACGGAAGCCACTTCGCGCTGACGCACCGCCAAATGGCCAAATCGCCAACAGGGCCCGCGCCGAAGGCCTTCGGAACGCTCGGAACCGGTCGGAATCTTGAGCCGGTATACGACCACAGCGCCGCCGCGTACATCCGGGACCTTTCTACTCTCCTCGTTTGTCGTAGCCTCATCCCACTAGCCTTTTCTAGTATGCGCCGTTTTTTTCCGCCGTTTGGTGGCGGGTATGTCGACGGGTCATTTCTCGTTTCCATACTTTCTAAACTGCATTTGTTTCTTTTCTGATCTAAAATAGTGAACAAAAACTACTTTCATACATAATTGAAACGGTTCGCAACACTTCTATTTTGTATCTCGACTAAAAAAAAGCTCTTAGCAGCTCTGACCAGTAGCAAGCCCAGGACCAAAGACGTCACATTTTGCGCGCTTTCGGTACCGCGGGTCGCCCTCGTCGGAGGAGGAGGTTTCCGCGTAGTCCGGTTAAAATATGACGCACTGATATTTAGGAACTCTCTCCGTGCCCGCTGGCTTGCCCCAACCCCAAGAGACGTGGAAAACGCAAAAAAGGTAGACGCTAAAATATGATTGCAGGGCCCCTTTAAGTCATGAATTTATAAAGCTTATTATAAATGGATTTGAAGTGTGCAGATGAATAAACCATATTGCTGAACCAATGATATCAACCGAGGTCCGAAAAACATGGGCCAGCATTGGGATCCGAACAGTTCCTCATCATCTCCTCCACCCCCCCCCCCCCCCCCCCTCCCCCCCACCATTGTAACACTTCTGACCAGGGCCGTACCCAGAAAAAAATTTCGGGGGGGGTTTTCGGGGACAACGGCGGCCATTTTGAAAGTGTGTGTTGTCTTATTTTCGCCTATGAATCATGTGCATCGGTGGCATATAATGGAGAGTTACAGCAAACCGGAGAACCGGTCCCGGTTTGGTACCCGGTAGCCGACCGGCGCCACTGCGCGTGCGCAGAGGTGGAGATTAAAATCGGCTGGCTGCCAGTGCACCGACCAGGGCCGTAGCCAGAAAAAAATTTCGGGGGGGGTCAGAACCCCCTATCCCCCCCCCCCCCTGGTTACGGCCCTGCTTCTGACGGCCCTGTCAGGTCTCTTGCCCCCATATTCGAAGTGCTAACCACTGCAGCAGCTCAAAGACGAACTGGAGGCACAAGGCACAGCACCAAGGTTTGTGAATTTTGTTCTAGACATGCCACTGCTAAGCATAATAAAACTACATCACAATAAAAAAAAAAAAAAAATACTGGGGAGGGTTTTTGACTTTTTAATCACCTCCTCCACCCCCCCTGTCTACACCACTGAGCTCTTGTGATGCTGAATGCCATCTGTGAAACTCTCTTGTCACAGATGCTTCTACCCTGCAAAAACGTCTTTGATACGCCTATGAGAAAAAATTCATGGGTTTTTATTGTGCATAGACAAACTCCCCATCGCAGACCACTCAGACATAACCAGAAGGTAGTCCCAGTGGTGAAGGCAGAATGTGAAAGTCTCAAGCATATACGCAATACCAGAAAAAAAAAAAAAAAAAGCAATTTTATTGTGCCAGACACGTGCAATCATGCAATCTTTCCAGAGGCAAATTAAAGTCAAAACCCCTTTTACATAAGGGCTTTTGTTTTGTTTTTTTATGTTTGAATGTCTATCTGCTTTATTCTCTTTTTTTTACAATAGACTGCTACTGCATGCAAAATTAGTACGAACAATGTTGCCCTTGGACTAGATTAGTAAATTGGGTTATGTTATTATACTACAGGACGTGCTTTTTCGGCAGCTTGAACCATTTGCGTGGCGTATAAGGGGTCTATGTCAACTGTGGCTATGTTCGACAATTCAGGAGAACCGACCTCGAGGTTCCCCGGGCTCATCACGCTTTTTCCGCTTGTGCTCTTCATACTTCTTCAGAAACGTCCAAAAGTCGTCGTACTGCTTGGAGTTCCTGCGGCGTCGTTCAAAGGTGAGCGTGATCAATGCATGCTGTGTGCTTTTCCTCCGCGCACAAATGCAATGCTTTCTGGACCATAAGGTGTTTTCACATGACGTCAATCCACCATTTTGTTGAGAGTTTGTTCGTACAAATTTATTGATAATTTAAGAATTACATATCGCAACCTAGTGAGGAAATGTCAGCATGGCAAGACTTATAAGCCTGTGTGTACTACGAATTCGAGGGTTCATGTAAATCCGTGGATTGCTCGCCTTCGGCACGTGCCAGACACCTCACAACAACAAAATGGTAAACATTTCTAAAATCCAAGGCTACAAGAAGGGGACAAACACAAGACGTCTTTACTTTAAAGGGCAACTCCGCTCAATTCCGAAGATTTCGGGATAACGAGTGATTTCGAATTAAAAAGCCCTAGTAAAAGACACTACGTCGTTTGCTTCGCGAAAAATGGGATATATATTTTTAAATCTAATTTTAAACACGAGCGGAAATCGAAACCGAAACTTCGGCTCCGTCCGGCAACATTGGCCTCGGGCCGCCAAGTACATGGCCATCACATGGTACGATATGTCACGTGATCCTTGGCCCAACGACGGGCGGGATGGGGGCGGGCGTGCGGCAGGCGCGAGTGTCGTCTGCACCGCACTCTTCGCCACGTTTTGGTGTCTACGGCATTCGACAACTTCTGCACAACCTCGGCATAAGTCTGCGACTCTGCGCACGCGGTGTCCATAGTGTGGACGAAACTCCGAGAGGCAATAATCACAAACGGTGAGACGACGACGGTGGTTGTGATGCGAAAGACGGTGGTAACGGCGGGACCACTGCAGGCGGTTGGTCTGCTCCCAAGAAGCGTGCTGCGCAGGCGTGTACGCCAATCACGTGGACACCGCTGAGCGCCGAGGGGCAACGTTGCTGACTTCATGCGCTATGCTCGATCGGAGAAGTCAAAACAAGCAAAAGGGGGTCATGATGATGACGTTTAGCTCAATGTTGGCTCCGCCCATGCCGTAGCCTTGACTGCGCTGTTGGTTGTGCCTGAATTCAACCGCTCGAGTCAGCCGATTTCGGCAACTTGGCAAGTTGCAAAGTTTGCCGGACCGTTTAAGAAACATTTAGACAGAACTGCGTCGTAATATTTGACGTGTGGTCTTCCTAGGCGATACTGAAGAGGACTGCATTGTTTTTTCAAAACCAAAAATGAAGCGGAGTTTCCCTTTAAACAGGTGGACGAAACTACGTCCGTGAAAACACCCTACTGTTGCTGACAGAACAAAAACGGCACGGCGAAAGGCAGCTCCGAGCCTTTCGCCGTGCTGTGGCTGCGAGCGCGTGCCCGAGACGAAGTGGAAGCTCCTCCCACCTCTTTCCACTTTAGTAGAGCGAACGCTGGGGAGGAGGCGACCTCCTCTCCACCGTTCCCTCCGCTGAAGTGACTACAGACCATTCCAGAAAAGGTTTTTGGAATGGGCTTTTGGGCTAGTGCCACGTTCGGCGCTCATTCGTTTGGCGCGTGATTTGCTGGCATTCCAAAGTCACGAAATGAACGCGCGCTGGGCAACGCAAAACAAAAGAGCTCCCTGCCGTTCTAACCTTGCCAGTGACTATCGCTGAACACATCAACAGCGTCGAATGGTCTCACCTGCGTATCGGGCTGTTGTCAGCGAAGAAAATCCTTGAGAGTTCATGACGGAAGAATAGCAAACTTCGAGGCTCGCCTTGATCGTGATGCAACCTGTTGGGCTTCGGTTCTTCTTGGCCACTCTCTCTCGACCTCCTTTCGTGCCTTGGGCGCTTGGCATGACGATCGTTATCTTGCCTATCATCATGGTCACAGCGTCTATGTCCAGATGTAGTACTGTGCTTGCTTTTATCACGATGTTTACCCATCGACACACGAAACAGCACCACAACACACTGCTAGCAAGACTTGAAAGGTAAACCGAAATTGGATTGGATTGTGTTGGATAGGAAAGGGAAACGATGGGATGGGCGGAGAGATTTTCAAAACGAAACCGGTCCGTAGCACTTTCTGGATGGGTCGGCGGTGTCGTTGGCAGAGTCGCAGAGTGACGAATCAAAATTTTTATCGGTTCGGTTCGGGTTCGGGCTCACGGCTTTCGGTTCAGTTCCGGTTCAGTTCCGAGGAGCAAAAATAACGGTTCAAACCGAAACCGGTTTGAACCGCTAAATTCACCAACTTTTCCGGCGACTGGAAGCTTGCACGAGTAATGCCAGTGCATAAAAGTGGTCCTGGAGCCGGTGTCAAAAACTACCGACCGATATCTTTAACAAGTATTTCATCCAAGGTAATGGAACATATTCTATATAGTAATATCATGACTCATCTTAGCGCATCTAACCTTTTACATCCGTCGCAGTACGGATTCCGGCAGGGATATTCTTGTAGTACGCAATTCGTTGAATTTTTTCACGACCTTTCTTTGGCAATCGACAAGCGACGAAGTATTTATTGTATATTTCTTGATTTCAGTAAGGCTTTCGATCTCATTCCTTATGATCTTTTAATTTCTAAACTACATGCTTATAAACTTGATGACAAAGTTTGTAGCTGGATTCGTGAGTATTCGTCGTTCAGAAAACGGTATGTGGTTTTAAATGGCTTCCAATCCCTAATGGCCGACGTCTCTTCAGGTGTGCCACAGGGCTCGATTTTAGGACCGCTTTTATTTCTTATTTACATAAATGATATTGCTGTTGATGTTTGTTCTACAATTCGAATGTTTGAGGATGATTGTGTTGTCTATAGAGAGATTAATAGCGCGCAGGATAGTGTGATTTTGCCAAAGGGCCTGGACAGTATTCATGGTGTCAATCGTAACAAATGTCTTGAAATGAAAAAAAAAAAAAAAAAAAAAAAAAAAAAACTGTACATGTCACTTTTACAAGGAAGGTTTTACCGCTAGCATTTCGTTATTCGCTAAATGGGGAAAAAAAAAAAATATCCTAGAAGCCCTAAATGAATTTAAATATCTCGGTGTATAATTTACGTCCGATCTGCGTTGGAATGCGCATGTTTCTCGAAGGCCTCATGGATGCTAGGTTTTCTGCGTCAAAATTTCAAAACTGTACCTCAGTCACTCAGAGAAATAATTTATTTTTCCTTTGTTTGCTCTATTCTGGAATGTGCTTACCTTGTCTGGGAAAATACAAAATCTGGCTTTGAGGTTTGTTTTAAGTAATTACGATTGGCGACTAAGTATGACTGAGTGGAAACATAAACTTAAGTGGCAATTATTAAAAGATTGCAGAAAGCACCTCCGTCTCAAATTTTTTCACGATATTTATTATAGTAAAACCGGTGTAGAAAAGGATAATATCCTCTACTAGAAAAGGATAATATCCTCTACAGACTCTAGGTCCAGGAAGACCTAGAGTCTGTAATCCATTGGTGCCAAAAATGGCAGATGACATTAAACTTCAATAAATGTAGATCCCTATCGATTTCCCGCAGTTCGCGTGCCACACCATTTTCGTATTACCTCTCTAACACTCAAGTAACAGCATGCTCATCTTATAAGTACCTGGGTGTTCACCTCACCTCTGACCTATCATGGACTACTCACATAACTTCTGTTATTTCTGATACTAACCGTTCTCTCGGATACTTGCGCCGTAACCTTAAACTTGCTACACCCTCCGTAAAACGACTAGCGTATACTACTCTTATAAGATCGAAATTAGAATACGCCTCATCTATATGGTCCCCATGGCAGTCCTACCTTGCAAATAATCTAGAATCCGTCCAAAACAGAGCCCTTCGTTTTATTTATAACAACTACTCACCATATACCAGCATATCAGGATTACGCCAATCAGCTAACCTTCATTCACTTTCCCTTCGCCGCCGAGTATCACGCCTTTCTCTCCTCCATCGAATTTTCTATCACAATAGCCACCTTAAAGAATCACTGCTATCACCTCCCCATCGTATTTTCCCGCGTCTAGATCACCTATGTAAATTACGTCCAATTCGATCATCAACTGTTTCTCACCAGACTTCCACACTACCATTGGCCATCGAGGATTGGAATTCGCTACCTCATAACATCGTTTGTATTAATGATACTACTAAATTTGTTGAAGCCATTACCCTCTTTTTATCTAACCTACCTAGCTAGCTTACAGTGTTATAATTGTGTTTACTGTTCTATTTGTTTTTGTTCTATTGCCACCCCCTTGTATAATGCCCCACGGGCCCTCAAGGAAAATAAATGATGATGATATATCAAAAGCGCCTTTTTACGTATCCAGTAGGAACGACCATGCTTTAAAAATCAGAGAAATTCCTTTTAAACGTACTGCGACACTCCTTTTTTTGTAGAGACCTCGCACGATTGGAACTCCCTTCCATCCCGCGCTGTCTAAATAGCTTTCAATGACGCCTTTTTTTACGCACTAAATGTGTGAGTTTTCTTGTGTGTCTGTATATTGTTTGCCCCCCCCCCCCCCCCCCCCCCCCCCCCCCGCAGGGGGCAACCTGCATGAGTCAGCCTTCCTTGGCATTATTAGATAGTGAGGTCCTGATCCTAGCTGAGGCTGAGGGCAGAACGCGACGATCTAACCTTCTTTTCCTTCGCTTCCGCGATGCTGATAAAGAAACTTGACCTCAATCGAAAAAAAAAAAACAAGAAAACTGTCGTGTATTGAAAGAGATCATCCCCTTTATGTATGTTTGTGTTTATGTTTATTCTTATTTTCAGTGACCCACCAACAGCTTGACGCCTCCTTAGTGGCATATGTGTATTTATTCAATCAATACAGCAATTCGCTGTAACGTCGCTGTAAAACCTAAAATAGCTACCAATCAATGGCTGTGTTCCGTTGTGTCTTGACGTAGCCATTTCCTAGCGACGTTATCAGTTGCCCTTTGGACTCACCATGAGTAGGCGGCCGCGTGTTGTTCGCTCTAAAAGGAAGAGCACGCCTACAAGGATTGTCAGCGCGCTTAAAAAGCGTCGAGAAGCCGAACGTGCAGCGGCCGATGGTGTGGGTCCATCGGCCTCCATTGATCCTCCACTCACCGACGAAGAACGTGCCCGTCTAGAGCGTCAGCGGCTACAGAAGCGGGAGTGTGAACGTCGTCGCCGAGCGAAAATGACCGACGAAGATCGGGCCGCCGATGCCAAGCGGAAACTATATAGTAGCTTTTGTCGTAAAGATAACAGTTTTGCTGGTCCTCCATTTTCACGTGAAGCAAATGGGTTCTACAGTTTGTTTATTTGTTGTTCTTTTTTATTTTCAGACACCAAAAATTAGGAATTCCGTAATTTAATTTGGACGCAACTGCTTCGCAAGTGCGGCCACCGAACGGCTATCTTGCATGCTGCGAAATCGCGATTTTGCTAGAGTTGCAGTGGCTGGCGGCGGCGTGCTGAAGGCACGTTTTCTACTCGGTCGTCGTCATACGCCGAAAGTGTTTTTTTTTTAACCCCGTGTAAGCCGTGAGACTTGCCGTTGAACACAAGTATATTTTTATGAAAGCGCAGTGCCGCAGGAAAAAGCCACAACTCGTCGAAAGCCAGTTTCGCCGGGCTCGCAAAACATATTCCCACGGCGTCGATTCTTGATCGGTAACCAAGCGTGCGAGAGCCCAGAGACACAGCACTTCGGCGTGCCAAGGAAGCTTTGAACACGCCACGGGACTGGCGAAACTTGCTTTCGATGAGTTGTGCCTTTTTCCCGCAGCACTGCGTTTTCGTAAAAATTTCAACGTATTCTCAACGGCAAGTCTAATGGCTTACACAGGGCTTTAAAATACTTGTTCGGCGAATGGCGACGAACGAGTAGAAAACGTGTCTTCATCGCGCTGCCGCCCAGCCTCTGCAGCTCTAGCAAAAACGCGATTTCGCTACATGCAAGATGGCCGTCCGTTGGCCGCACTCGCGGATCGGGGATGTGCGATCCAGCAATTGTCATAGGCTGTCTCCGACTCCGGAGTAAAGGCAAATACTGTTTAGACCAGGGGGGTAAAGGTGGGTGAGGAGGAGTGGCAAATCCCGTGCGCCGACGCCCGGGGTCCCGAGTGAACGATCGCAAAAGGGAGCGACAGAACACGAGAGAAAGAAAGCAACGTTGCCCTGGTAAACACGGAGAGTGAAAACTCTCAGCAATATAAACAGTGATAATTTAACGTTGTAAACTAAATTCTGAGCTATTCTAACGCTTATCAAAAGCAATAAAGTCATTACGCTGCATTAACTTGCCTACTGTCGAAATCTCGGAAATCTAGTGGTTGCGCAGTATTCCTCAACCGCGCCCACCCGCGGTTGAGGCCGTACATCTGCGCGCTATGCAAAAAAAAGCTTCGAAAGGAACGCGAATATCTTTCCACCGGTAAGTTCGTGGATTGTTGAAGTTCACGAAACTGTTCTGATGATGTAACCGTGTTTGGGACCCCGAGGGTCTGCCAGAGCCGTTTATACTGAGAGAGTTTGGCCTTCTTAAAGGGAAACTCCGCTCCATTCTCGGTTGTTACCAAACACTGCGACTCTCTTTAGTGTCATCTAGAGAGACCGAATGTCAAATATTATAACGTAATACCGCCTAAAAGATCACTAAACCGGCCGACAAAAACTGAGACGCGCGAAGTCACCAAAATCCGCTAATTTAGCGGGCGACGTGCGGCGCAGCCAACGTTGTATTTCCGTTGTGGCTGACGTCTGTTGCATACACAGTTTTTTTTTTGTATTTTCTTTTCCAGGGAGAGCTTACCGGGCGGCGCTACGGACGCGCTCCACGTTTGAGCAAGCAAAGAGGCGAAAAAAAATGAACGAGAACAAGAGAAACAAAAAGAGGAAGAGAGAGTTGTACGGGATGAGTTTATGACACACCTGCCAACCGGTGCCAACCGACTAGCCGCCTGTGTTGCCGCCTACATAGCCTGCTTCGTTGCTGCTTGCGTTGCCTGTTTGCCGCCGCGCCTAGGCC